CTAGCACTAAGTTGCTAACTGGTTAGCAAGATGCTTCCGACAAACTGGCCACAACCAAACTTGCTTGCGAACCTTCCGCCACAACAATCCCGCCCCCTCGATAAACGACCAATCACAGTCACTCGGGAAAATTCGTAAATGCAATGGTTGGAACAGCCATTTCCCTACAACTTTAAAGAATCTGACAGAGATTGACTAACCAGCTAAACCAAAATGCATGATAGCATACCAGAACCAGCACAGCAGACATCAAATAGCTTTACCATGTTTGTTTAAGAAAGTTAGAGTTATGATTCTAACTAGGACAAACCCACTTAGCAAAAATTGGTTGAAAAGACATTGAAAAGTGAAAGGTGGAGAGCAGTAATTTTCAGATTGTTGAAAAACATGGAAAACTAGGTTTGCATCATCTTTTCAACTATTATTGGACTAAAGTGTGACAAAATCATACAGACCAAACACAGCCCTATTTTCAGCCCTATGATCGACTAGCTTTAGCCTAAAAACCAACGTCTAAAGCCGGGGCATACACTGAGAGATATTTTCAAGCGTTGCATTCAGCTACAGCTCAAAGTGTACAATGAAACTGTAGGGTTTAAAGGTTCACAGCTCATAATATTTGTTCTTACACTGTATGACCTGATGCGATCTACCTGCTCACACTGAATGTGCAAAAACCACATGTCTGACTCAGCGCCGAGAGATGGCGCTGGTTCACCTCGTCAGTCTGGAAGAAGAAGAAGTATGCTTGGGGTTCTGGGAAATCGGCTCGTAGCTCTGCTCCAACGGCAGGATTTGCCCACAAACACCTCACGACAGCCGACTGAGTTTTAAAAATGTTTTTTTCCCCTGACCAAACCAATATAATACAACTGAACTGATAGGAAAGTGTATTTTTTTATTTAGTTGAAAAATATAAACAAATTGATGTAAACCAGATGTATTAAAGTATAATAACTTCCCCAGAAGGCTTGCAGACACTATGAACTCTATAAAATGATGCTTTGAATTGTCAGCTTGTATCTGTTGATGCTCTCTACAGTCATTCATGCATTGCAAGGCAGGCAATTTGGTTAATTGGCAACGCTAGAATGCTAACAGGCATAGCTGTGTGTCTATAGTGTCGTACCTCTGACACACACTAGACTTTTCCACCTGCTGTTCTTTCAGTGCTGGTCTAAAGTCCAGCCATACAGGAACATGAACATATTGCTCGGTATCAACAATATTGAGAAATGAAATAATTAATGCAAGAAAGTCCCCTGACATTTAGAGCCACATATTCAGGCTTCAAGATGAGATCTTTTTCAGAGGAAGCGATTGATTTTTCAGCAGGAAACCAGACTCTGTGCACATTACCAAGCCTTCTAGTGACAGAAACTGTGCGATGAAACGTGAAGCTACACAAACTCCACCGTTCTGCAACAACAGGGTTCCTGCGGGTCCTTAAAAGCTTTTAAAAGGCATTGAATTCCTCAAAATAAAACTAAGGCCTTAATTGGTATTAAAATGTCTTAAATCAGTCTTTTGTAGGTCTTAATT